GAAATGTAGCATTCCATCACTTGCTCACCAATGGATGCTCTGCAGTGAATGGGTGCCGTCAGAATGAGAGTCCATTGGTGAGACACTGATGCAGTGCTACATTTCTACAAACCTGATGAAGAAACAAACTCATCCTGATCTCGGATGGCCTGAGGGTGAGCACATTTTCAGCAAATGTTCATTTTTAGGTGAACTATTCCTTACAGCAATAATTGTGTAAAACATGAAATCCTCCTGTAAGATTTGACATTTAGGGCAGCACAAAAGGTCAAATACTTTAAATAAAGCTTTCCACACTTCACTGTCACAAGAGTGTCCTCTGCTGGAAGACACATGTCAGAGCATCGTGACCTGCTTGTTTCAGAGACAGGTGTGTCAGTAGTGCGGCTGATGAACAGACGTACCTCCAGGAGCTGACTGAGCGCTGCCACCGAGCTCAGCTCATTGAAATCAATCAGAGACGTGGCCAGCGTCCTCAGGAAGCTTCCATCTGAAAGAGAACAGAGCCGGTGAAGTGTTTGTGCTGTGTGTGTGTGTGTGCGACTGTGCTCTGAGGTGCTTCTCCAGACCTTTAATGTTGCTCTGGAAGAGTTGTGGTAGGATGCCGTTGGGTGCGAGCTGATGGAGAACGCAGCGGAGGAACTGCTTGGCTACACCTGACCCGCTTGTTTCAGAGACAGGTGTGTCAGTAGTGCGGCTGATGAACAGACGTACCTCCAGGAGCTGACTGAGCGCTGCCACCGAGCTCAGCTCATTGAAATCAATCAGAGACGTGGCCAGCGTCCTCAGGAAGCTTCCATCTGAAAGAGAACAGAGCCGGTGAAGTGTTTGTGCTGTGTGTGTGTGTGTGCGACTGTGCTCTGAGGTGCTTCTCCAGACCTTTAATGTTGCTCTGGAAGAGTTGTGGTAGGATGTGCTGTACATGTGGAAGAATTGACAATAAAGCAGACTTGACTTGACTTGATATGATATGGTTAATATCATATTTTTAAATTTGATGGTTTCATTATAAATATGGTGAATATCACTAAAGTGGACACCCAACTCAATATATGATATTTATCATCTGAATATAACCATGTCATGTTAACAAATGGGAAAGTCAGTCAGCTAGTTATTATCATATTAATTATTGTGCCTTTAGCCCTAACAGCAGGGACATTTTTTACCCCAGATACCATACTTTTACATATTCTTCTGTTATTGAAAAACAATAACCTTTGCCTTGAAATATATTCAATAATTTTATCAATTCTCATTTGCTACACATTAAATCTTAGATCAAATTAACACAGAATCAACTTTGCATTGCTGTCCATGATCGTGTCAAGGATCACCAAATTTCCACCTGCAAACGCTGCTGTGTTAGGAAAAGTGCTGAGGTGGATTTGGGTGCCATCTAGTGTTTTAAAGGAGAATAAAGTCAAATGCGGCTTTAGATTACACCGCTAGTCTGGGTAATGAATCATCAACATGAGAGGAAAGTGCTAAGTGCTAATGAATGATGCTGAAGACTGACCCGTGTCCCAGGTGTTGATGTTCTGTGGTGTGCTGGACTGATGCTCCAGCTGCCGCTTCATTAACTGACTCATCGTCACTGCACCCAGCGAGCCTCGCTTCACCTGACGATACAGAGCTGAGGACAGAAAAGAGCATTCAGCAGCTGCTCATGAATGCTGATCAGATCTCAGTCTTCCAGCACACATCAAGCCTCATGAAACAGCAGACAGATGAATATGAGCATTAATGTGTAAGTGATTTACTGGACACTGAGGAGCGATGGCTGGTTTCAGGGATGGTGGCCTCCAGGGCCGGAGCTGAGGCAGATTCTCTGGGCTTCTCCAGGCTCGACAGAGATTTGGCCTCTGTACAACAACACAGGTGAGAGACAGTCAATCTCCTGTCTGAGTGTCAAATCAGTCTCTGAACTCAGTGTGTAACCACTTCTTGACATCTGCATAACATTGTAACATTTGTTAAAGTTAATGAAATCCTCCTGCATCATTGTTTGGACAATAATTGGTAGATTGAATGTGCTTTAAAGGGGTAGGTCACCCAAAAATGAAAATTCTGTCATTAATTACTCTCCCTCGTGTCGTTTCACATCTGTATGTCGTTATTAAGTTATTTTTGATCAAATCCGAGAGCATTTTATCCCCCTATGGGGAGCTACGCAACTACCACATTCAAGACCCAGAACAGTAGCAAAGACATAATTAAATACTCCACGTGACTCCAGTGGTTTAACCTCAATTTTATGAAGCGACGCAAGTGGTTTGTTTGATCAAAAAAACTAACCCCCGGTTTCACAAACAAGACCTAATAAACTCTTTTGGAGTCAAACAAAACGACACCGGGCCCACTCATCGTTTTAATCATACGCTAGATGTAATTATATCGCATGGAATTGATCTTACTGATATAGATATCGTACCTCAAAGTGATGATGTTACTGACCATATTTTCTGTAAAGTTGCTTTGCAACGATTTGTATCGTGAAAAGCGCTATACAAATAAACTTGAATTGAATTGAACAAGGCTTAAGCCTATTCCTAGACTAAAATGTAAATCTGAGCTGTTTCAACTGAAGGAAACTTGCACTGACTGATATTAAAATATATCAGTGCCTTTGTTTTGTTTTAATATGCACACCAGTAATGCTTTTTTTCTAAGGCATGTTTATAAAAATTACTTAAATGTCCTAATTGAACTATGGCCTAATCCTGGTTTAGGCTAAGCCCTGT